TTTTGAGTTCCATGTAACAAGATTCTCATTGAGATAAAATGCCATACCTGATGTACTTCTCCTATCAATCACATCTCTAGCTAAATCACTATCTGTATAGCCTATGACACCATATTCTTCACTGCTTCTTACATATTCCAAACCATACATAGTTGTTCCTTTAATGTATCTTAGAATATGTTTAACAACTTGAAGGTGTTTCTTAGTAGGTTTTTCCATAAAATGACTTACCAAACCTACAGAATATGAGATATCCGGACGGGTGTGTGTGAGGTATCTCAAACCACCAACAATGCTCCTATACTTCGTGGGATCAACGGGTTCTCCTTCTTCATCCTTTGTTAGCTCCAGCCTTGGTTCCATAGGATATCTACATGGGTTACAATCATGCATACCAGCTTTTTCAAGCACTTTCTTTGCATAAGCAGTTTGCACTAATGTAATTCCCCCTTCATATTGACTTACCTCTATGCCCAGGTAGTATGTCAACAACCCAAAATCAGTCATCTGAAACTCTTTGTTCATTTGTTGCTTAAACAATTTCACATCGTTATCACAACTTCCTGTTACAATCAGATCATCAACATATACCCGTACAATAAGAAGACTTCCCTTCTTGCTTCTAGTGTAAACAGCATACTCTTGAGGACATCTTTTAAAATCTAGTTGCTTCAAGTATTTGTGCAGCCTAGAGTTCCAAGCCCTTGGTGCTTGGCGTAAACCATACAAGGCTTTTGATAGTTTGTAGACTTTCCTTGGCTGATTTTTCTTCACAAATCCTTCTGGTTGTGAGACGTATACTTCCTCCTCTAAATCACCATATAAAACTGTTGACTTTACATCAAGGTGATGTACTTTCCAACCGGATTTTGCTGATAAAGCTAATATGATGCGTATAGTTTCAATTCGAGCAACCGGAGCGAATACCTCATCGAAATCAATTCCGGGTTTTTGTACATAACCCTTGGCAACTAGCCTTGCTTTGTGCTTTATTATATTCCCATTTTTATCTCTTTTGAGTTTCAAGATCCACGTCAGACCGATGGTTTTTCTCCCTGGTGCTAGTTCTACTAGGTTCCAAGTCTTGTTTCTTTCAATCGCATCTAATTCAACTTTCATAGCTTCTACCCATTCTTTTTTCATACTTGCATCAGAATATGTCTTGGGTTCCTCAATATCTTCCATTAGAAGTAATTGTTCACAATCTTGATAAATATCATTAAGTGTTCGATACCTTAACGCGCTATCACTTGTTGAGTCTTCGCTACCTGTATTTGAGCTTGTCGAACTTTCTGGAGTAGTGGTGGAAACTTGAGGACTTAATGGAGTTGGCTCGCTCCATACCTGATTATCTTCTTGGTAACCTCCTAAATCAGAATTTTCATCTTCCGTCATGTCACTTATAGTGAACCCATCAAACGTTAAAATTACACCTGGAATGGGTTTTATTTTTACTGCTTTTTCCCATGTCCACTTTGCTTCTTCATCAAATTTTACGTCCCTGCTAATACGAATCGTCCCTGTATCTGGATCAAGAAGTCTATAAGCTTTTGATCCCTTTTCAATGCCTAGATGAACCATCTTGTTGCTTCTATCTTCAAGCTTCTTTAGGTGTGTGTTTGGTGTTCTCACATCAGCAATGCAGCCAAAAACTCTCAAGTGCTCAACTTGTGGTTTTCTTCCTGTCCACATCTCGTATGGGGTGGAATCTTTAAGAGCTTTTGTACTCAATCTGTTAAGAATGTAGACGGCATGACACACGGCTTCTCCCCACAATACTTCAGGTACATCCATGCTTTTAAGATTGCTTCGTGTCATCTCAATTATAGTGCGATTTCGTCTCTCCATAACCCCGTTCTGTTGTGGAGAGTATGGTGCCGTGTAATGTCGATTAAGACCTATTTCTTTACAATATGAGGTGAATTCACTTGAGAGAAATCCCCTCCCCCCCCCCCCCCCACGATCAGTTTGTAATGTCTTTATTTTCTCTCCACCTTTTGTTTCCACCTTTTTTTGAAATTCTTTAAAAAACTTTAGGGCTTCATCTTTAGCTTTTAGAAGGTAAATCCACATTAACCTGGTGTAATCATCAACCAGTAGGAGGAAATATTTATTTCCGGCTGGTGTGGGTGGAGTGATAGGACCACATAGGTCACCATGCACGAGCTCTAGCCTTTTTGAAGCTCTGAACATTGTACTTGTTGGGTAGGGGTTTCGAGTTTGCTTCCCTATCAAGCAGCCTTCACATAAACGTGTGGGGATGTTTATTTTTGTCAAACCAACAGCCAAGTTTTTGTCTAACATTTGCTTGAGCGTGGTGAAGTTCACGTGTCCCATACGAGCATGCCAACGCCATGTCTGATCGGTAGCTTCTCCAAGTAGACATTGAGACTCAACTTCATTTAAGATTAGCTTATAGAGTCGATTTTCAGATTGCTTTACCTTCATGAGCAGTCGGTTCTTTTCATCGTGGATCCAAAGGAATAAGTCGTGCATATATATTTGATCCCCTTTTTCCGCTAGCTGTCCCAAACTGATGATGTTACTACATAACCTTGGTATGTAGTAAACACTTTGAAGCACTCGATGTTCTCCATTCTTACATTGAAATACGATAGAACCTTTGCCTTCAATTCGTACTTTGGAACCATCTCCAAACTTGACATAGCCTTGAATCGAGCTATTCAGATCACGAAACTTGGTTTTATCCCCGGTCATATGGTTACTTGCTCCATTGTCAAGATACCAAATCTTTGACTGATTGTTGTTGCTTCCTAGTGGTGTCAATTTTGGATTGACTTTTTCTTCATTTAAGAACACTTCCTCAGTTGTCTTGATCTCATGGATTGCTGCCAAGAGAAGGGCTGGTTCGTTATCAATTTGACCTTGAACAAATTAACTTCTTGATTTCTTTCTTTTCGTGGATTTTTACATTCTGCTGCATAATGCCCGAATTCTTGACAATTATAGCACTGGATTTTGCTCTTGTCTCGATTGTCGTTCGTGCCACGAGTATTCTCTCGTTGTTGGTTATTACTACCTCTTCCTTGGCCTCCACAGTATCCACCACCTCTACCTCCTCCTCTACCTCAACCTCTTCCTCGGCCTTGATAATTGTTTGAGTTTCCCCGGTTGTTTTTGTTAGAGGAGCGTGACTGGTCATGGCTTTGTTTCTTACTTCTTTCGTTCCATTCTTGATGGGTAAGTAGAAGCTTCTTTTCTTCAACTTCAACATGCCCACAAATTCTCTTCTCATGAGCTTTCAGTCGCCCTACAACTTCTTCAAAAGACATAGTATCCAGATCTGCGAATTGCTCAATGGTGGAAGCAATTTGCACAAACCGAGACGGCACTGCTCTTAGCATCTTCTTCACCATGTAAGCTTCTTCCATATTGTCTCCTAAGGCTCGAATGTTGTTGACTATGTTGCTTAACTTTCCAGAAAAGTCATCAACTGTCTCCGACTCCTTCATGGTTAACACCTAAAATTCTGCTTTGAGTGTTTGTACTTTTGTTGTTCTTACGCGATCAGCACCCATGTAGAGAGTCTTGAGCGTATCCCAAGCTTCTTTTGCTGATTCCTTCTCTGCCAAAGACAGTAGAATTTCATCTGGTACTGCTTGGACTATGATGGCCATCGCAAGCCTATCCTTCTTTACACTAACCTGATTCTGTGGGTTTTTTGGTTCGATGGCTTCCCACACTTCTTGAGCCTGCATTGCTATCTTCATCTTTATGGCCCAGACAGCATAATTGTTCCTGGTCAACAGCGGGTATTGGAGAGAGAATGAGCCATCTTTCTTTTGTCTTTCCATGTTAGGGCTGTTATCAATGGGGTATTTTTTTTTCAAGCTCTGATACCAAATGTAAGGTATCTACCTGATACCTTGCTGCAACCTGGTTGCCTAATAACAGAAAACAAGACAAAACAGGAAGGAAGAAAAGGGAAAAAAACTGCACAGCAACAGCAACAACAGGGATGATAACAGGGGAATGGAAAAACGGGGAACTTTTACTTGCTCAACAAGAGTTTTTAATTCTGGAAAAAAAACCAAAAAAACTAACCTAAAACAATACCCTTATTTATACTAAAAGATATGGAATCCTAAACTAACTCAAATACGGCTAAAAAATAGTTTCCATATAAAATTCCCAAAATGCTCCTGAGGGCCAATTCCTGAATTACGCCAACAGTTAGGACATCCCAAAACAAGCCTAAGCAGGTTTTCGTTGCCTAGGACATCGAGTACTGTGCTTGAGATCATATTAAGTTATTAACATCTATAAAGACCCTCATTTCACTTGTTTTGAACGTAGAATATGGAGCTTGATTGTGTTGATATGGAATTCATTGACTTGATTGAATTGATTTGGATCTGTAGTATTGATAACAAAGAATGAGAGAAGTATGTGATCATTTTAACCTAAAAGATGATGAAGTGCCATGTCACTGTCGAAGTCGATGCTGGCATTCACATCACTACTATTACACGTAAGCATAGTTAAAACTGGGAAAAGGCAGTGTAACCCGTAAAATGGTCGAAAAGTATGGAAGCATGATGTCTTCTATGTATAAAATAGTTGAATTTTAAAATCAAAAACTGGGAGCCTTAATTCTAGTGGTTTTTTTGCCATTTGCCTTTTTAAAACAATATATTATTAAAAGTAGAAACTAAAAACATGTTATTCGGCGTATTTTGACTGTATTATTATTTAGTTAATGGATTAGATCATGTCGTACAAAGTGGAACCTTTTTGTAGGAGAGTAAATTTGGAATTTTGAAACACCAAAAGACTCCCCCAACTTCCATTCTCCCTTTCTGCCTCATCAAATTTTCATGAACTCCTCTAAAAGGGAGAAGACTACCTTACCCTTCACGTTTCATTTGCTTAAACCTTCACCTTTTCTTTTTTAATGTGTTAAATTGTGTGAATCTCACACACTATACACGCATATATATTTTACATATAATCACCAAGGCTTGCATACAAACTCAACCATGAGCCACAAGCAAGCCCATTCACCGAGTGCAATACCCTTTTCATGGGAGACAATCCCTGGTATACCAAAGCTTATGGCCACTCCGACAGCTGCTTCCATAGGAATGCTTGATCAGGAGGTCAGCAAGAAAGTTCTTTCCCCACCGCCACCGCCACCACCACCAGGGAGTCTTCGTGGGTCAATGAAAAGAAGCATGTCGAGCAGGGTATTCTGGAGGGAGGAGGACCCTTTTTTAGCGGCTTTGAAAGAGTGTTCGAAGGATTACAAGAGTAAGGGTGATATGAAGAAGAGATTCGGAATCTGGGGGAGCAAGTCATTTTTGTGGTGCAGATGTTCGTTTGATGTTGAAGAAGGGAACTTGAGGGGAAGAGGGAAGCCGCTGCCGTCAAGTGGTGGTCCAGTGATTCCTCGAGAACGAGTTCAGAGTTTGATTCGAATCCAGAAGGGGTTGAGGAAGTAAAAGCACATGAAGAATAACACATGTGTGTTTTCACGTTTTTCTCTTCGTCTATTAATAATCCTGGTTATTATTTATACTTCAGTTTAAAGGTCGACTTTTTAACAAAATTATGCTTTAATAATTAGAGGGTTTTAGTGGTCGGTTGATTTACTTGTGGTCAAATTGTTAATAACCAATGGTTTTGTAATAATAATAATAATAATAATAATAATAATAATAATAATAATAATAACTAGCTGGGGTACCCCGCTCCGTGGGGTTCGGTTGGGCTCGGTTTGACCATAGTTTTCGTCTTTTAATAATCGAATCAGTCAATGCATCTTCAAAACCACATATAGACCAAAGTTATAAAGGCCCAAGTTAAAATTCTGAAATTTAAATAATCCATATAAAATTTACAATTTAGTTAAAATTCTTGCTTGAGTTATTTTGGCAATTATTAGTTGACTATCTTATGTTTTCGTTGTATCGTGTGCAAAATCATAGTATGAAAGTGCAAACCCAACACCAAAACCAACTTTTGGTTAACACATATTATGCTTAAAAAGTTATTTTAATAGTAAATAATAAATATGAATATAGATACACACACATCCAACTTTTGATGCATTGCCTGACATTTTACGCAATGCTTGACTCATAAGACGTGCTTGTAAACTCATTTGTTGCATTCCAATTTCGCGCTTCATAAATCATAAATCATAATATAAATAAAATAATACTAACAAATGTAAACCTAATAATAAACATAAAGCTTATAGTAGTACTATTAAATGTGAAAATGTAAAGTTAAAGTTACTTCAATTTCAGCACGTGGAGTAAGAGCTGAGACAGAGTCAATGCAAATGAGATCAACTGCAGCAGATCTACACATGCGGTCTGCAACTGGAGGAAGAAAAAAAATTAAAAAGTTTTTATTAATTAATTAATGAAATAAAATAAAATAGAGAAATTAGGGTGGGTTTATTTAGTACTTTCTAGTGCCATTTCTCCATTGTCTGGTTGGCAAACAATAAGCTTTTCCACATCAAGTCCAGGTGTGTAGGAATAGAAAGAATTTTTATATCAACAAAGCCGAAGGAATTAAATTCCAGCAGAACGAACGATTCCAATTCCATTCCTAATAGTTGTAGATAGAATAAGGTATAAATAAAACAAAGGGAGGAAAAGAGTGTATACATTCACAGGCCAAGGAAACCAGAAGTGCTTAGACATCTCAAACTTTTCCATATCAAAATCCCAGACTCCACAATCAGTATTCGAGGCTACAAAATGAACTACACCACTGCAAAACAATCAAATGACAGATAAATTCACATGAACTTTTATTATTATTATTATTATTATTTAATTTGTTAAATAGACAAAAAAATCATATCAACGTAGGAGTGGTATAAATGTCTACAGCATTAGTGATGACATTATCATCATAACTTGTCCTCCAGCAGTAGCAAACTCCAGGTCTATCCAAATATTGCACCCATAAATCAAAAAATATATATAAATATCATCACAGAACAAAGTAATAAAAAAAATGTATAATCTTGGCTTATATAATACTTGCCTTGCAAATAAGTTCTCCCTGGAATCCACCAGCAATTAAAAGATTATCTTTTACTGCAAGTGTACTAACTTGAGTTTCAATAAATCCCTGTGTTTAGTGAAAAAAAAAAAATTAGGACTTTATGAGGGTAAATTTGTAGAAAATTATCTTTATCTATCAAGTAAAAAAACTGTTTATTTAGTTTTTCAAATTAAGTGATAAAAACATCTAAGATGGGTGGAGTACTTTGTAGGGTTAAGTTAACCATGGATCAATGTGAAAAGTAAAAACTATAAGCTATTGTCTTTATATCGGATGTCAACTACCTGGGAGTTGGGAGCATGGGAAACGTGTGTTCTTGTGGGGAGGTGGAAGTGTTGATTGTCTGCCCGCAGGTAGATGGATTGGAGTTGCAGGTGTGCTAGTGGCAGGGTGTAGTAGTTGTTCTTCCAGTTCAACGCCTTCTAATTCTTCAAGTTTAGCCTCCAATTTATCATGCATATTTATACATTCAATATTTTTTTTTCAAAATTAAATAATTGTTTATAAAGCTAAATAGAGTCATTTTACTTTATCTCATCAAAATCAGTTGCTGCAGCAATTCCTGTTGACAATGCCTCATGAATTTGTTTCATGTTCTCTGCTTCCTCATTTATCTCATCCGTTGTGTTGTCTACATCATCAATATTCTTGTACAAAAAAAATCAAAAACACATATGTAATCGTGTTTCTTTTTTACTTAGGGGGATGTTTTTTTCCTTCTCAGTAAGCCTTGTATATGTAAAGTGGCCGAACGGGTGATAATATCTTTTTAAGAGACGAAATGATCAATTTATCCTTGTATTATTATTTATTTACATAGTAATAGATTTAGAAACTTACACAACCTTTTGTTCTCTCTGTTGTAGTCTTTGCACCTTCAAGCACTATCATCTGGTGTCCATTGACAAATTTTTAATTATTTAAAATAACTTTTAGTGAAGATATAAAACATAAAGTAAAATTGCTAATGTTTTTACGACAGAAAAATTTAAAGGAACCTGATCATGAATACGGAACTGAAAATTGCCAAGCTATTTAATTTCTAGTTCATAATGTATTTTTCACTTCAAACACTCTGTATTGCAGCTGAATAATTCCATAATGAGAAACAACATATTTAGTATAAATTGATGTCGCAAAGAATAAGAGATTAAAAGTGCTCATAATAATAAGTTTAAATTTAAATATTAATACCCCTTTTGTTTTTCGCTCTAGTGAACTCATTTTGATTGTTTAAACTCTGCACCAGCTTTCTTCAGAAGCACTTTTTCTTTCTTCTCTAGCATTTCAAGTGTCTGCAGAAATATTCAATAATTTAGTGTAAGAGAGAAAAAAATGGGAAAACATTAGGATCACTCCATGCTTTACCACAACAGTCATTTGAATCAACAAAAGCCTTTCTCTTCAATCACAAGTTACTAATTCACATATCTGGTGAAGTTAGATTGACCTTATGTGCAAGCAATGATGTAACAGACCAAAAATCTCCATTTGTCATTTTTAACAAACACTTGGTGGGCGTAATTCAGTTGAGGTTTTACTGAGCTACAGAATCGAGAATCAAAAAACAAACGAAATCAAATAAGAAACACGATTACATATTTGTTTTTTATATACAAGCCTTACTGAAATACGACAGAGTGAAGCGGGAGTGAAGTTAATACAATAGAAGTACATGGAGTCGTTTAAACATCATCATCTTTTTCGGCTGCTTAATAGAAGAATCGATTTGAAGAACAAAAGTGTGAATTGTGAGGAAGAAAGCCAAGCCTAACATGAACTGGGCTCCTTGTCAAAAACATCTACACAGATTCATATCTCTAATGATACTCCTTGGTGGAGCCTGCTCATGAATTGCAGGACCCTTTTTTAGAAGCACAGGTGAAAAAAAAGAAGTAAAAAGTACACATAGGAGTACAAAGGGACATTAAACTTCATGGATAAGTGTCAAAAATGAGAAATTGGATAAAATATGATTTTGATACTTATCCAATAAATATCGACCTTGTATCTACCTCTTCCTTGCTTGCTTGGCTAGCAGCTGCACCACCAGGATCTGTAGATAACCAGAATGAAATTGGTCAAAATTTCGATTGATTGATCGCAAAACTAATAAAAATACTATTGCGATAAACAAGCCTTTGTACTGGATCCTAGATTAGTACATATATTTCATTTGGGTACACAGAAGATTGTGCGAACACAATCACATACAAATGCGATTAAACACAATTACGATGTCGAGAAGTCAGATATGGACCTTGAACAGCACCCATTTCTTTTTCAACTTTGGCTTTCATTTCGCGAAGAGCTGCTGCTTCTTCTTCCATCTCTTTGAATCGTTTCTTCATCTCGTCGAGTTCCTGCAGCGATTCAAGGAAAAAGGTAAAGGGATTTTGGACAATAAACACAAAGCAAATATTTCGGGTTAAGGAATTTGAATCGATAAACCGATAAAAATAAAACCTTGACGGGGCCGATTCAGTGTTGTGTAACATAGCATAAGGTTAATGGGTCGGTGCTATTCATGATGATGATGGATTTTACTAATGATTATACGAATATGTTTGAATAGGGCTCTGCTATTCTGAAATACAACAACTATTTCAACAGAAAAAGAACTTTGAGATCAACTCAAGTCTTAAACACTCAAACTTAACTTATTTATTTCATATATGGGCAAGACCTTATTTATAGGCTCAAGAGAGCGGGTTACATAATTGAGTTGCAATCGTTTGATTGCAATACGACATATATATTTACATTATAGCCCCCTAAACTATTGAGGGACTTACATACTTTATGTTACATCACAAATAATAATAATTATCCTACCGACACTTTTAAACAATTATATTAAAAAAATAACAATTTCTTCCATATTGAAAGGACGCGTGTCTTCAATAATGTCTTTAATAATAATGGTTTTTTACGTCATTACTTGCGTCATTCCTCCCGCCACCGAAAGGATAGATATTTCTAATTAATGTGTGTTTTGGTCATGGCTCACGTTAGTCTTCCATGAAAGGTGTTTCTTCCATATTTGAGTAGAAATGTTTTTAGTTGTTTCTCTATGATGGCTTCCATTCTCTTGTCAATGTGTCTGCTATATGATTGTTGGCGCTTTTGATATACTTGAGGTATGGTTGAAATTGATGTAATTGTAATTGCCAACGAATCAATCGTCCTCGACAATAATCTTCTTGTAACTTATATCGCCAAAAGCCAAGTAGATACTTGGAATCTGTGCATAATTCGAATCTGGTTTGAAGTAGCTCGACTTTCCATTTCTTCAACGTTCTTAGACAAGCTAGTGTTTCTCGTTCATGTGTGCTATAATTTTGCTCCATTTGGGAAAATGTTCCCGATATATACTTGCATAATTTTTGCTCATATTTATCTGTTTTTAATACTTCAGATGATACATTCGTATCAATGATGCTTTTGGTGATATTTTCATATCACTGTATACTTTATCATTGTTTACTTCAAATGGTATTTTCATACCAATGTATGCTTTTGGTGATATTTTCATATCACTGTATACTTTATCATTGTTTACTTCAGATGGGTCAGATATGGGGTTTCCCTCATTATCTAGTCCCAATAATACTTTTCCATGTATAATTGCTTTTAGGCATCCTGCCCAAGTGTCTTGTGATGCATCTGTCTCTACAATTAAAAAATCATCGATTTTTGCATTATATAAAGTAGGGACAACTTGAATTTTTTGTTTTATATTTTGCACCAAAATAGTATCTGTATTGGTCCAAGACCAATGTATTTTTTCTGATATTTTCTTTTGTAAAACTTTTCTTTCTTTTGCTAAACTTTTTAAAAATCCTTGTTCTGCAATGTAATTTAAACAACCAAGAAAACGTTGAATTTGTTTTCTATTTTCAAGTTTATCAGGAAACATATTTAATTTTTCTCGTATATTGTCTGTTAACGATAATTGACCATTTTCTCCAATTTTTAAACCGAGATATTCAACTGTAGATTGAAAAAGTTTTGATTTCTTTTTTGATAAAACTAAACCCTTTTCTTTAATTCTTTGTAAAACCTTGATGACTGCATCAATGTGTGTTTGTTCATTTCCTTTTGTAAAAACAATTATATCATCAATATATGCAAGACCAAATATGATCTAAACTATTTAAAGTTTCATCCATGAATCGCTGATATATTGCTGGTGCCTGTTTTAAACCGAATGGAAGGACATTCCATTCATAATGCTTCTGAGGAGGACATGAAAAAGCGGTTAGTGGTTTCGTATTTTCATGTAAGCGTAATTGCCAATATCCGGATTTTGCATCAAATGTACTAAAATGTGTATTTCCTTTTATTTTTTTCTAAAATATATTCTCTTCGTGGTAATTTATATGAATCTTCTATAGAAGCATCATTCATCTTTTTATAATTAATCATCATTCTTCGTTTTCCTCGTTTTATTTCATTATTATTTTCTACATAGAATGCAGGTGCAGAATGAGGACTTGTGCTAGGTCGAATGATTCCTTTTTCTAGTAGTTCAGTGGATTCTTGTTTAAATTCATAAACATCTTTTATACTATATGGAATTTTATTTGGATTATTAACTTCATCATTAGAATTTTTTAATAATATTATTATTTCTTGATTATTTCTATTTTTTAAATGATCTAGTGGGTTTTCACTACATACTTCTTCAAGTTGTTTTTCAGCAATTTCTTTAGCAAATGTTAGTAAGATGCGTAGTTGAAAACCAACTTCTTGTTTGATTATCTTAATAAGATCAAAATGTTTGATAATTGCAGTTTTTATAATACCTTTTGTCGGGTGATTGAGACTTATATGATCATTTGTTTGTATAAATGGTTGATATAATTTAAGGAAATATCACCCGACAAAAGGTATTATAAAAACTGCAATTATCAAACATTTTGATCTTATTAAGATAATCAAACAAGAAGTTGGTTTTCAACTACGCATCTTACTAACATTTGCTAAAGAAATTGCTGAAAAACAACTTGAAGAAGTATGTAGTGAAAACCCACTAGATCATTTAAAAAATAGAAATAATCAAGAAATAATAATATTATTAAAAAATCCTAATGATGAAGTTAATATTCCAAATAAAATTCCATATAGTATAAAAGATGTTTCTAAATTTAAACAAGAATGCACTGAACTACTAGAAAAAAGAATCATTCGACCTAGCACAAGTCCTCATTCTGCACCTGCATTCTATGTAGAAAATAATAATGAAAATAAAACGAGGAAAACGAAGAATGATGATTAATTATAAAAAGATGAATCATGCTACTATAGGAGATTCATATAAATTACCACGAAAAGATTATATTTTAGAAAAGTAAAAGGAAATACACATTTTAGTACATTTGATGCAAAATCCGGATATTGGCAATTACGCTTACATGAAAATACGAAACCACTAACCGCTTTTTCATGTCCTCCTCAGAAGCATTATGAATGGAATGTCCTTCCATTCGGTTTAAAACAGGCACCAGCAATATATCAGCGATTCATGGATGAAACTTTAAATAGTTTAGATCATATTTGTCTTGCATATATTGATGATATAATTGTTTTTACAAAAGGAAATGAACAAAAACACATTGATGCAGTCATCAAGGTTTTACAAAGAATTAAAGAAAAGGGTTTAGTTTTATCAAAAAAGAAATCAAAAGTTTTTCAATCTACAGTTGAATATCTCGGTTTAAAAATTGGAGAAAATGGTCAATTATCGTTAACAGACAATATACGAGGAAAATTAAATATGTTTCCTGATAAACTTGAAAATAGAAAATAAATACAACGATTTCTTGGTTGTTTAAATTATATTGCAGAAAAAGGATTTTTGAAAAACTTAGCAAAAGAAAGAAAAGTTTTACAAAAGAAAATATCAGAAAAAATACATTGGTCTTGGACCAATAGAGATACTGTTTTGGTGCAAAATATAAAATAAAAAATTCAAGTTCTCCCTACTTTAGATAATGCAAAAATCGACGATTTTCTAATTGTGGAGACATATGCATCACAAGACACTTGGGCAGGATGCCTAAAAGCAATTATACATGGAAAAGTATTATTGAGACTAGATAATGAGGGAAACCCCATATCTGACCCATCTGAAGTAAACAATGATAAAGTATACAGTGATATGAAAATATCACCAAAAGCATACATTGGTATGAAAATACCATCTGAAGTAAACAATGATAAAGTATACGGTGATGATACAAATGTATCATCTGAAGTATTAAAAACAGATAAATATGAGCAAAAATTATGCAAGTATATATCGGGAACATTTTCCCAAAACGGAGCAAAATTATAGCACACATGAACGAGAAACACTAGCTTCTCTACGTACATTGAAGAAATGGAAGGTCGAGCTTCTACAAACAAGATTCGAGTTACGAACAGTTTCCAAGTATCTACTTGGATTTTGGCGCTATAAATTACAAGAAGATTATTGCCGTGGACGATTGATTCGTTGGCAATTACAATTACATCAATTTCATTCTTATCTCGGATACATCAAAAGTGCAAACAATCATATAGCAGATACATTGACGAGAGAATGGAAGCCATCATGAAGTACCATTCATGGAGGATTAACATCAGACATGACATAAGCAAACATTTTCAAAAATATATGTCCTTTCGAAGGCGGGAGGAATGACGTAAGCAATGACGTATAAAGCCATTATTATTGAAGACACGTGTCCTTTCATTGTGGAAGGATGTATTTTATAATTTGTATATTATTTGTATTTGTTGGTATTTGTCATGGTCAGTAGATTAAATGTCATATGTCGATAGGTTATATGTCACTATTGAATATGATGTCTAGTTTGTAGGATATGATATAAAGTGTGTAACCCTCAATAGTCTAGGGGGATATATTGTAAATATGTTTGTTGTATTGCAATCATACGATTGCAATTCAATAATGTAACTGGTTCCTTTGAGCCTATAAATAGGGCCTTTGCCCATATGGAATAAACAAGTTAAGTTTGAGTGTTTAAGACTTGAGTTGATCTCAAAGTTCTTCCTCTGTTGAAATAGTTGTTCTATTTCTGAATAGCAGAGCCCTTTCCAAATATATTCATATATAATCATTAATACAACCCATCATCAATCTGTCACACCCCAAAACTGGAACGGCGGAAACGTTCGGGGGTGGAGGACGTCATGTACAGTATCACAACAATGCAAAGTAGTAAACAAGCAAAAACATCATCCATTGCATTAATAATATAATGTAATAGAAGTGTGTTCTGTCAAGTTATATAGACACCAAAAATATACATCAAAATAAAAGATGAGTCTTGAACGAGCTCCATCTTCTCAAAACCTGGCACCGGTACCTGTCTACTGGTGACTTGAGAATACAAGTTATTTTGAAAGAGTTTATCAGCTTTAAAGCTGGTGAGATCATAAGTATATTAATGTCTGTGTTTGTATGAAAGTGTTTGTAAGTCTGTAATGTATAAGTTTTGTAAAAGTTTGTAATTGTTTGAACTCTCCTAGAAAACCCTATGTTTCCTACTAAAAGTAGCCTTCTACCAAGGCATCTAGTGTCTGTGTGTGTGTCTCTTGTGAGAGTATGTATTTTCCCAAATCTGACTATCATTAACC